AACAAAATTATAACATAACAATCAATCACCATTCATGGTTTTTAAAGTTTAAACCATCACAATAAACTTCTTCAAATTAGTTGTTGCTATCAATGTCCATGTCTTCATCTCCACTTTGATCATCATTCATCTGAGGCTATATATTACGGAGTACTCCGTATGTCTCAACACAAAATTATGAGTTTGCCCAAGACTGCATTTCTGTTTCAAATGAGACTTGGATCAGTGCTAGGATCCTCCAGCGTTTGATAAAATAAGTTAATTGATAAATCTGATAAGCCGAAAGTAGGAGTCACTAAATGAGCACTTAATGTGATAGTATTACTGCTACCTTAATTGATACTCCTTTCGCCCTGTCCATGGGCCTGTTAGGTAACACTGAAATTGGCTGAGTCGGATGATTCTGCTGAAATTTCAGAAGTTCTGCTAGATCGGATGATTTTGCTGATATATGAACAAATTATATTTAAATTTTTTTATTGATAAAATAAAAATAAAATTATATGAAAAATAGCTAAAATGGTTCTCTATAGTAAATTCAGCCAATTCAGCAAGAAAAGTAATTCAAACATTACTTATTTTAATGAGGTAAGGGTCAGATTGGTACTCGAAGTTGCATAAAAAGGGTCAAATAAGTCCTTATATAGGAGACTCTGTCCGGCCGTCGCCATTTAAGGCGGTTCCCGGTGGAATTTTTTGATGAAATTTTTTGAACATCTTATTCATTAAGTCTAGTTTACTCATACCAAATTTCAGCTAAAAGTTCAACCGGGAAGACATTCAAATGAATTCTTTACGATAAGTGCGCAGTTAAAAGCGCAGTTATATTCAAGAATTCATTTGAATGCCTTCCCGATTGAAGTTTTAGCTGAAATTTGGTATGAGTAAACTAGACTTAATGAATAAGATACTCAAAAATTTTCATCAAAAAATTCCACCGGTAACCACCTCAAATGGCGACAGCCGGACAGTAAGGACTTATTTGACCCTTTTTATGCAAATTCGAGTAACAATCTGACCCTTACCTCTTATTTTAATTGTTACAGAATTCGGCGCACAAAATCAAAAGTTACGTATTTGGTGATAAAGTTATTGAAAAGACTGATAAGCCGATAACAGGATCACCAAACGGTCTCTATATTTGTCCCATTTTACTTTTTTGTCTGCCTCACTAAGCTCTTTCATACTCTCTCCGTCCCGAAAAGAAGTTTCACCTTTCCTTTTCGGGATGTCTTAGCAAGTTCCATCTTTCCTTATTTGACAAACAAATTTACACCAAGAGCCAAAACAGTGTCAACCAGTGCCAGACAGTACCAAACAGTGTCACAACAGTGTCACAACAGTGTACTAAACAGTAAAATTTACCCCTCAATAAATTTATTTTCTTAATATGTGTGAATTTTCACCCGTAACTTGTTTGCGGGACGGAGGGAGTACTATACTTTATTCCAACTTTATTCATACTTGGCAATTAGGTAATTGCACATTTCCATTTTTGGTAATGTTTGGTTGGTGGCAATTTATTCCAACTTTATTCATACCTTACCAATTTAATACTTCATTCGTCCCACTAACAATGAGATAATAGGGAGTGACACGCAAATTAATAAAAGTGGTTTATGTGGTTGATATTGAATTGATAAAGTAAGAATGATTTAGAGCCACACAAACTTTACCAAATTTGATATGATACAATCTTAGTGGAACGGACCGAAAAGGTAAAATGAGACAATCATAGCGGGACGGAGGAAGTATCAATTACACATTTCCATTTTTCATAAATAACTACAACACTCACTTTTGCATCAATCTTAAGGTTGGAGGTAGTAATATTTTTCAAACATCATTGTACTTACTCATATACTTCGTATAATAGTTTGAATTTAACATTGTATTGATTTTATTTCCATGGGTCATGGTTCACTGGGTGCACATTTATGCTTAAAATAATGCACAGTCCAAATATACTAAAAAAAGTTGATTTTATTTACAAAACTGCCACCATTATTTTTTTTTTGTTTTTTGTTAGTTCACATTTCTGTTTCACATAATTCACAACCCCAAATATAACGTTCCAGATTAAGTTTCATTTCTCTCCTTAATTAGATCGTGTTCTTACTTGAATCAAATTCATACTCCTATGCATTTTTTTTAGGGGGGATTGACTTTAGACGATATTAGACTTTGCACTCCATTCTAAAATCATTAATATTTACACCTCATCACCCCAAAAATTATGAACAAGGAAGTAATTAATATTAAAGAGAAGAACATTAAAGATATAAGTTACAACTTGCAAATCACAAGAGTCCATATATCAAAATCAAGCTCAAAAGACTATATTAGTTACAGGATTAAGGAGGGATTATTTATACCGGAGTATGTAAAATGAAAAAGAAATAAGTGCTTTTATAGGATAAATGAGATGATTGAATCGAATACCCAACCGAGTATCGAGGTTACCCGACTAGATATCCTTGGCAGTAGCCCGTAAAGTGCTGAAATCTAATCAAACCCGATCGGGTTTTGACCACCCGAGTTTTTCACCAAATCAGATTTTCCCACGTTCTCTTTCTTTTCCTTTTGTCTCCCATGAAGCTTCCAATTATCGCCAAGCTCCTTCCTGCTTTCAAGTGTTCCTCATGTTATTTGCTTATTTTTTTGATCAACAAAACATGCCTCTATTCATATCAATAGATTCAGGATCATTACATCAAGCAAAGGGAAAATAAAACAGACACCAACTGAAACTCCAACAACTACGACTGTAACCCTATGGTGAGACTTTGAGACGGTCACCCCTGAGAGAGCAACACGAATCGCTAACCATGTAGTGGGCTTGACACATCGAAACCTATTCTCATAGATCCAACCATACCCAATGACATAAAGAGAGGCAAAAAACTCAAACAAACTGTCAAACCCAACAACAAAAATGGACGCAAGAAAACAAATAACAAAAAGATAAAAACTACAAGAAAAACGTTCACGAACTCTAGCACCTCGTGCATCCCATGGTGGTGGTTCATGAGGAGGTCGTACCACTGGTACCATGCTAATTGATCCTCCATGACCTTTGGCTGCCAAAGACCATGCATCAATCCTTCGTCCTTGCATAACCAAACTCATCCCTGCTCCGTGCGACCAGAGTAAACGGATAGGCGGCGCCGATCTTCTCCAACGATGACAGCAATGCCGCATCCTCGAACCTTTATTACAGCGCCGATCTCCTTGAGCCATGACAGCAAATCTGCCCTCCTCCACCGATCTCCGCCCTCCGCGTCTGACCTGGACTCCAGTGGAGCCCCAGCGACCAAGGGATAACAAAGCCGATCTTCGACAAAGTCGAAATCGGAAAAAGGCTCCAGCGGCCGACATAGTCAAAGCCCTAGAGAGACAAACTCGTGATCGCTCAACCTTAGCCAAAAGCAGACCACTGCTCCGCGGCCAGATATGCGAACAAGAACAGCCGAACTTCGATCAATATGATCGAATTCGAAAAAAAAGCCTAGAGGCGGCTGCCCTAGGAGAAACGATCTTTGAGTTAGTTAAGAGTTTCAAATATGGTATTTGAAAAATTAATTTTACTGCAAATCTCCAACTGTACGTGAATCCTATGGTAGTTTCCCTCATGTTACTTGCTTATATGTCAAATCTTTTAATAATTTCTTATTCTAATCTTATTTTAATTTAGAAGATAATTATTACACAGTAATTGTGCAAAAGTTAAATAAAACTATGTAAAATCATTATAAAATGTGTTCTTTATACACTACTCTTGCACTACTCCGTGATAAATGTAGTATTGAGTAGCACATATCAATAGTCTTTCCCAACAGATGCATACCTGTAGGTTAAGTGCATCTATCCATTATTCCGCTGCTCAGTGATTTTGTTGCCGGTAGAAAAATCTTGACACTGAGCGAGGTAGCCAAAAAAAGAAAAGAAATAGGAGTACGTAATAACCATAACAAAACAAATTGACCTGCGCTTATTGACAGAGCCAACTTTTGGGAAAAAGGTTTTGGTTTTGGGAAAATAATGTCTCCATCCTAGCCCAACGTGAACTTCATAAATTAATTAAATTATTTCATTTGTTGACAATTAATGAAATGGACGTTGTGCCGGCCGGGCAACCCTTGTTCTCCGACAACCCACGAATTGAACCAGCGTGATATTCCGTCTTCGGAATCTTTAACCTAACGACTACATTCCAATCGCCATTTCTTTTCATTATTAAAAGCCACGATTGGAACCCTAATCACTCACGGGTCCCCATCTCTCGAGTCTCTACACTCGCTAATTCTAGGCTTGTGATCGGTTCCAGTTAAAAAAAATAGAACTAATTGTATTGAAATTTGGAGACGTTAAATTTGGTTCGATTTTAGTAAAAAAAAATATACTCCCTCCGTTCCCGAAACAACTTTCCGGTTTGACTTGCACACATATTAAGGAAATAAACTTACCAGGGATAAATTTCACTTTTTTGACACTGTTTCGACACCGTTACACTTTTTGACACTGTTTTGCACTGTTTTGATGTAGATAACTTGCCATTTAAGGAATTGAGAAGTTAAATTAGGGACATCCAAATAAAGAAAGTGAGAAGTTGTTTCAGGGACGGAGGGAGTAGTTGTTAAGTTCGGTACGTTTTTTACCCTTTTTTGTTCCTTATAAAAAATTATTATCCTCCTAAAATGAACTTATTTTACCTTCAGTTACCAAAAAATATTCAAATTTCAAATCATGAAAATAATTGTCGGAGTTATGATCATTACATTATGAGAATATTATCCGAAATAAGATTAAAAAGGTTTGAAAATTCCAAAATAGGACTGTCATGTTTTTATTTCCAAAATAGAATTAATTACTACCATGTTTTGGCAGTACCAGACTTCAAACATGACATTATTTTCCAAACTTGACAGTAATTAACTAATTACTTTTATTTTGGGAATATAAAACATGACAGTCCTATTTTGAAATTTTCAAACGAACTGTTTTAGTCCTATTTTGGGAACTTTCCCTTACATTATACATTATACATACATGATATTCCAATGTTCCAAACTTAAAATATCATATAAATATACATGCGCAAACATCAAATTTAAACATAAAAAAAAATGGCTGGATGTCTTTGGAAATGCGTCTGCAGAATCTTTAGAGGGAGCTCCTAATGATCACCTTGCTCTATTTATTAAGTTAGTTCCAACTCCTAGAGTGAATCAAAGGCAAAAATTCAAATTCGAAAATGTATGGCTGAGAGAGGATGATTGCCGCGACATTGTGGCGAGAAGTTGGGGTTTAGGCCGAGATGGTGGCATCCTGAGACAAGTGACAGTTTGCGGTAAAGCAGTAGGGGATTGGGGTCGAGATCGGATTGGCTCCTTCGACAAACACATTGGATTCTGTAAAAAAAGATTGGATTTTTTACGAAGAAGATCAGATGATTGGGGGTTAATCGAGTTCCAAAGGGTGAGGAGGGAGTACTTGGACCTTCTGGAGAAAGAAAATCAGTTCTGGAGACAACGAGCGAAGGAATTCTGGCTCTAGGGAAGCGACCTTAATACTCATTTTATTCATAACTCGGTCAAACATCCGAGGAGGAAAAATAGGATCGAAGGATTTAAAGTAGATGGAGGGAGATGGGAAAGGGATCGTGGTGTCATTGGGCAAATGATTGGTGATTATTTCACAAATATTTTTGCTTTGGTTCAAGGTGACAGAGAGTTTATCTTTAATTGTGTTCCAAGAAGTCTGGATGATCATCATAATTTTGAGCTGTTACGACCCATTAGGAGAGAGGAGGTTAAAGATGCTCTTTTCTCTATGTTTCCTGATAAATCTCCTGGCCCGGATGGTATGAGTCCATGTTTTTCCCAACATTATTGGGATATTGTGGGCCCGAATGCGGTCAATTATTGCAAAACAGACAAATATAGTGCTTATTCCGAAGAAAGAGCATCCTGAGTCTCTCGGGGACTGGAGACCCACCGCCCTTTGTAATGTGATCTACAAGATTTTCTCCAAAATTCTTGCTAATAGAATGAAGAGGCTTCTTTGCCTGTGCATCTCAGAACATCAAAGTGCGTTTATTCCAGGTAGATCCATTATAGATAATATTATTTTGGCGTTTGAATCTCAACATTTTTTGAAACGGAAGAGTTAGGGTAAGGTGGGTTTTGTCGAACTTAAATTAGATATGAGCAAGACTTATGACAGAGTTGAGTGGGCTTTTTTGGAAGGAATGATGAGACAATTGGGCTTTGCTGATAGGTGGGTGCGGTTAATAATGGAGTGTGTCACTTCTGTGTCCTATTCTATCCCGTTTGATAATTCTGAGATTGTTCCTATTTTTCCCACGCGGGGTTTGTGCCAAGGAGACCCATTGTCACCTTATCTCTTTATCTTGGTTGCGGAAGGGCTGAGTGTTCTTCTACAAAGATATGAGGCAGCAAGTTGGTTGCACGGGGTTGCAGTGGCTCGCCCCCCCCAAGAATCTCACATCTTTTCTTTGCGGATGATATTCTCCTCTTTTTCAAGGCCACTCATTCTGAGGCGACGATTGTTAAAGAGGCTCTCCATGATTATGAAGTTGCATCGGGTCAGGTAATAAATTATAATAAATCTAGACTTTTCTTTAGTTCAAATGTCTCACTGAAATGCAAAGAAGGCTTAATTGACCTTCTGGGAGTGGGGATGGCTGGGCTTCCAGCTTTAATTGGGAGAAGTAAGAGATATATTTTGATTTATATTAGAATGCGGGTGATTAAACGTATACAATCTTGGAATAATAGATTTTTATCCCGAGCGGGTAGGGAGGTTTTATTAAAGGCAGTGGTACAGGCTATGCCGGCTTACGCTATGCATGTTTTTCTCTTTCCTAATGAGATGTGCCGGGAGTTAGAAATTTTATTAAATGGATATTGGTGGAATGGTAATTCCGGGAAGGGAATACGTTGGAGAGATTGGTAGTTTCTGTGCAAGCCAAAGAAGGTTGGGGGTATGGGATTTCGAAAGATTCGGGAGTTTAATCTAGCAATGTTAGCCAAAGAGGCTTGGAGAATTTTTTCAAAACCTGGATCTTCAGTTGGAAGAGTATTGAGGGCTCGGTATTATCCTCGAGGGGATTTCCTTTCAGCCAAACTTGGAAGTAATCCGTCATATATTTGGAGAAGTTTATTTGAGACTCAAAATTTAATTAGAGATGGCTATTATTGGCAGGTGGGTGACGGCAAGTCGATTAAAGTCTGGGAGGATTCCTGGCTTCCTAATGCTGAGCATCCTAAAGTTTCTACACCAGTAGTTGCAGGGCTAGAGCAGTCACTGATGCATAGTTTAATGTGTGATTCACAACAGTCATGGGATCTAGACATTTTAAAGGATGTTTTTAATTGTAGAGATGTGGAGCTGATTCAAAGTATACCTTTAAGTCGGCGAATAGTGCCAGACAAGCTGTGTTGGCGATGGGAGCCAGGAGGTTCTTTCTCGGTCCGTAGTTGCTATAGGAGACTGGTTGGGGAGCTTGTTAATTTAGTGTGGACAGGCTGGACACAAATGTGGAATTGGGATTTACCTCCTAAACTAAAAATCTTTTTTTGGCAGGTTTGCACTGGCTGTCTTCCGACTACAGAGAATCTGCAACAAAGAAGAGTTGATGTTCCGATGGGCTGTGGCCTTTGCGGTGAGGGAGATGAATCTCTGTTGAACCTTTTTTATATCATGCAGGGTAGCGAGTGAAGCATGGAAGATGGCGAATTGGAGCTGGTCTGGTCCTGTTACATGTTCTTTCCTTGATCAAGTGCAGCAGGAGTTCACAGTCAGGCGGAATGCGGAGTTGACGAAGCTGGTGTGGGGATGTTGGGGGATATGGAGCGAGAGAAACCAAAGAATTTGGAAGGGAGTGATAGAGTTGTATTTTTATTATGTATCATTTCTATTTTAACTAGTTTTATTTGTTGTTGTTTGGAAAATTACACACTTTTGGTGTAATTAGTTTATTTTCCTATATAAATGTAATTTGTTTAGATTAGGATTATTCTGAGCTTAAAACAGGTCAAGATCATCCAAAGGATCAAGATTGGACCCCAAAAGATCAAGGAAGGTGCAAGGGGACAAGATAAAAAGAAGATTGAGAAAATATTTCATATACCCGGTCGGGTATAGGCAATACCCGATCGGGTATTGAGTTGATTCGGGTGTCAAAATCAGAATCTGGAGAGACAAAAAAACGTGCAGGATTTTGAAGATTTGGCTCATACCCGACCGGGTATGTCTAGAAAAGTGATTTTCCGGGAAACTGCCTAAAATACCCGATCGGGTACCCTATATACCCGATCCGGCCGATCGGGTACACAACCCTGCCACCTCCAAACACCTATAAATACACCCCTTTTCCTTCACAAAAAAATCATCCCTTCTTCCATATACTTAAGCTCATTTTAGAATAGTTATTTCTTATATTTTTATAGCATGTTTAGTCTCCAAATGAGGAGCTAAACTTCCATTTCTTGGTTTTGCTCTTGAAGCTTGTTGATTATTAAAGTTGTGAGTTATTTTCTTACTTTCTCCTCTTGATTATTAATTCTTCCCTTAATCTCATTCTATATTAATGTTGGAGGGTTGCTAAGTGACGATTAGTTAACGTTCCAACATTAATTATTACTAGAAACGATCAACGAACCGATGGTTAATCGTTGGTGGTTTCACAAGTAAGTAACTTCGGTTTATTAATGCATGGTCGTGGTTAATAAACTTAAGAGGGATTAATTTTGTTGGTTAAACCGAAACCGTTGTGTTGAGGTTATCAATCTCAATTGATTTCATCAAGGAGTTAAAGAGGTTAAATGCTACTATTATATCGGTATACGGCGTTGTTTTATATTTGATTAATAGTAAGAGTTATTAATGAACGGTCGTTGTTAATAACTACCATCGATGAATTGGAGATACTCCGCGATTGAGTATTCGAGAGGGGATAAGTTATAGATATAACAATGATCGACTAAAATATATCAACAAGTGGAAAGTAGCAAGACCAAGTTCCTTTTATTCTTGAATTTAATCCCATATAAGTCGTTCATCTTCGTGCTTAAATTAATTAAATCACAAAATCAACCCCCCCCTTCATTTACTAGTTCTATAAAAAGAGAGTTATTCCTTTCCCTGTGGATACGGATTCTACTTCACCTATACTACGTATAAGTGCTAGTATCGATTTATTTTGACGCACCGTGACAAAGTGCCTGTAACACTTGAGATTTAATATAAATGGATTAATAGTACTACTCATACCAACAGAGGTGCATCTCCTTTTAAGGGAGCTCATCACCCAAGAACTCCCAAGTTAAGCGTGCTTGCACGGGAGTAGTCTTGGGATGGGTGACCCCCTGGGAAGTTTCTCAGGGCGCGCATGAGTGAGAACAAAGTGCGCGGTAAAGGCTCGTGGTGGTTTGTGGGGACAGTACTATTGGTCCGGAGTAACTACCTCGGGTTCTGCGGGGCCGGGGTGTTACAGGTGGTATCAGAGCAACCCTGCGACAGTGTGTTGATCCGTTGGATATCGGGCGGGCACTTAGCAGGGGAAAAGATTCTGGGGTGTGATTGAGATTGGTTTAAGGGCGCAACGAGGACGTTGCGATCCTAAGTGGGGGTGATTGTAACACTTGAGATTTAATATAAATGGATTAATAGTATTACTCATACCAACAGAGGTGCATCTCCTTTTAAGGGAGCTCATCACCCAAGAACTCCCAAGTTAAGCGTGCTTGCATGGGAGTAGTCTTGGGATGGGTGACCCCCTGGGAAGTTTCTCAGGGCGCGCATGAGTGAGGACAAAGTGCGCGGTAAAGGCTCGTGGTGGTTTGTGGGGACAGTACTATTGGTCCGGAGTAACTACCTCGGGTCCTGCGGGCCCGGGGTGTTACAGTGCCCGTCAAATTTGGCACTGTTGCCGGGGAAAGGCAATTATTTTTCTTTTTATTTTATCTCATAAAAATAAAAATCAAAAACAAAAAAAAAATAAAATAAATTAAAAAAAAATATCTTACATTTATATTTTCTGAGCTTACATGAGTTATGAGTATATGGATACCAACACTTCATCCTTAGAGAGTCAAATTTCCTTCTTGACTTCTCTAATAAAGGAATTTATCTTAAGCTCAAAAGCTCAAGATGCCAAGACATGCAACATTTGCATGTCTCACAGGCATCTTACGGATTTCTGCCCAAAGCTCCAAGATGAATACCTTGAACAAATTGATGATGTTGGTTACGAAAGGGATGTACCTCACATGAGGTATGATCCGTTTTCCAACTCTAACATGTCTACGGAGGATATGGTTCGGGCTATTGCTACCAACATGACCACCATGCAGAACAACATGGTGCAATTCCAAAATGAGACCAAGTCTAGCATTTCAAACTTGGAAACTCAAATGATTCAAATAGCCGGAGCCGTGAGTAGGCTTGAAGCAAGGGATTCGGAAAAACTTCCTTCTCAAATAGAATGTGATCCTAAACAGCAAACTTTTGCAATCACATTGACAAATGAAAAGGAAATGCAAAAGGAGATCCAGAATCCAGAAGAAGTAAAAGAAGAAAAAGACACGGAGCTCCAACTAGTCAAAGAAGAGGATAAGCAGAGCGTCAAATTCAAACTTTTGTCATTGTCATCCTTTGAGGTATCTCCATCATCTCTGGAAGCTTTAAGAGAAACTCGTAAACTTGAAAAGGACAATGACATTTCTGAAATTTTCTTCAAAATTGAGGGATCGAAAAACTTTTCATTGACCATGCTAAACGATAATTTCTTCCCCTTCCTCCCACCACATGAATCAATGAAAATCTGGACATTTGATCCTGGAAAGATTTTCAAAGTGAAGAGTCGAGAAATTGAGCATCCCTATGGAAGTCCTAGGAGTGAAAGTGTGAAGAAGATAAATTATCACGATCCGAGTTTGAACGATTGAACACAATGATGGCGTCGTGCCGCGACGTTAAACGAGGCGCTTCTTGGGAGGCAACCCATGCAAGGTATGTTTACTTATTTTATTTTAGTTTTGCACTTTTCAAAAAAAAATCGTATCACCCCATTCGAACCCAACACCCCAAACCCTTCATAGTTACAATTTCACACTTTCATATCTTCTTCATACATCCACCAAATCAACAAACTAAACCCATATTCTTCTTATCCTCCCCACATTTCTCATTTCTATACCAACAAAACCCACCAAATAATCCAAAATCCGAATTCCCTAACTCCACCTACACCAAGTCCGAATTCTCCTTTTCTATGACGTCTTGAAGATGAGCACTAGGGACAGTGCTTTGACTAGCTTGGGGGAGAGTTTCATGGAATACTCACATTCATACTCTTTATTCTTGTTTTAAAAAAAAAGAAAAAAAAAACATAGAAAAAAGCTAGTTAGGTTGAAAACCCAAATGGGCAATCTAAGCAATAAAAGCAAAATAAAAAAATGAGTGAGTAGGGGAGAAAGAAAAAAAAAATGAGAGGCTAGGATAAATTTAAAAAATAAAAAAGATCCTAGGCAAAATGAGAGAAATGAGAGAAATTAATTTTACAGGGATGTGGTGATACAATGATGAAGAGGAACATGGAAAGCATAGAAGACAAGTAAACCCAATATCATGAAGTGCGTAGTGCATAAGTGGAATCATTTCACTTTGTAAAATACATTTTAAACATTACGTGGTTGTCTTTTGCTTGTTCATGATTGTTTGAAGTGTTGATGAAACATTGACTTTACTCGAGGACGAGTAAAGAAACTAAGCATGGGGGAGTTGATAGAGTTGTATTTTTATTATGTATTATTTCTATTTTAACTAGTTTTATTTGTTGTTGTTTGGAAAATCACACACTTTTGGTGTAATTAGTTTATTTTCCTATATAAATGTAATTTGTTTAGATTAGGATTATTCTGAGCTTAAAACAGGTCAAGATCATCCAAAGGATCAAGATTGGACCCCAAAAGATCAAGGAAGGTGCAAGGGGACAAGATAAAAAGAAGATTGAGAAAATATTTCATATACTCGGTCGGGTATAGGCAATACCCGATTGGGTATTGAGTTGATTCGGGTGTCAAAATCAGAATCTGGAGAGACAAAAAAACGTGCAGGATTTTGAAGATTTGGCTCATACCCGACCGGGTATGCCTACATACCCGACCGGGTATGCCTACATACCCGACCGGGTATGTCTAGAAAAGTGATTTTCCGGGAAACTGCCTAAAATACCCGATCGGGTACCCTATATACCCGATCGGGTACACAACCCTGCCACCTCCAAACACCTATAAAATACACCCCTTTTCCTTCACAAAAAAATCATCCCTTCTTCCATATACTTAAGCTCAGTTTAAAATAGTTATTTCTTATATTTTTATAGCATGTTTAGTCTCCAAATGAGGAGCTAAACTTCCTTTTCTTGGTTTTGCTCTTGAAGCTTGTTGATTATTAAAGTTGTGAGTTATTTTCTTACTTTCTCCTCTTGATTATTAATTCTTCCCTTAATCTCATTCTATATTAATGTTGGAGGGTTGCTAAGTGACGATTAGTTAACGTTCCAACATTAATTATTACTAGAAACGATCAACGAACCGATGGTTAATCGTTGGTGGTTTCACAAGTAAGTAACTTCGGTTTATTAATGCATGGTCGTGGTTAATAAACTTAAGAGGGATTAATTTTGTTGGTTAAACCGAAACCGTTGTGTTGAGGTTATCAATCTCAATTGATTTCATCAAGGAGTTAAAGAGGTTAAATGCTACTATTATATCGGTATACGGCGTTGTTCTATATTTGATTAATAGTAAGGGTTATTAATGAACGGTCGTTGTTAATAACTACCCTCGATGAATTGGAGATACTCCGCGATTGAGTATTCGAGAGGGGATAAGTTATAGATATAACAATGATCGACTAAAATATATCAACAAGTGGAAAGTAGCAAGACCAAGTTCCTTTTATTCTTGAATTTAATCCCATATAAGTCGTTCATCTTCGTGCTTAAATTAATTAAATCACAAAATCAACCCCCCCTTCATTTACTAGTTCTATAAAAAGAGAGTTATTCCTTTCCCTGTGGATACAAACTCTACTTCAGCTATACTACGTATAAGTGCTAGTATCGATTTATTTTGACGCACCGTGACAAAGTGCCCGTCAGGGAGTGCGACTGGAGGCTTACCAATTTATGCAGAAGGCAGCAACTTTGGTTGAGAGCTGGTGCTTAGCACACCAGGTTGCTCCAGGGGCTTTGATTGCATTGATTTTTGAGTGTTTATATTTTTACTTTTAATTACTTTTTATGTTGTGTTGTTGTGGTAATTGCACATTTAAGGTGCAATCATTTTATTTTTCTAGTTTGTTGTAATTTAGTAAATTTAGAATCATCTTGAGCAAGAAACAATCAAGAATCAACAAAGGATCATGGAAGTGATCTTACAAGATCAAAGGAAAGTGCAAGGGAACAAGAAATCATGCAAGAAATGTGATTTGGTGACTTACCCGGTCGGGTATAGCCTTTACCCGGTCGGGTA